CTGGATGCTGTCTGTTCTGATAGCAACTACTCAGTGAACATGTGAATCACTTACTGCATTAAATACATTAAATTGCCATGTGTCAGGGAGTAACACCTTCTTACAGTAGCTTTATGTAACTCTGGTAAAGAACTTTATAATTGGTTACCTTCTTGAAACTGAAACTTAATTCTTTTGACCAGTCTCATTGCCCTAAAATTTTTGCTAACACCAAGTTTCACTGTAAGAATTTTGTTACAGTAACAGGATCTCCGTAATGGTAAATACTGACACACAATCTTCTGCTCTTGTCTGTACTACGAAGCAATACAATTATTACCTTCAACGACCATCAAACTGTAAAGAAATCATTTTGTCTCAAGTTTACATAAAGCTACACAGATGGTAAATCTTTCCTAACATTTCTTTATTCCACTGTCTTGTGTTTTCATGTTGGAAATACTTCTGCTTTTTCCTCTTGAGTGCCAACTTCTTACTAGAATGACTTCTTAATGTAATATGTTTACCTGGAATGTATTTTAACTATTTTTGTATAGTGTAAACTGAAACATGCACATTTTGTACATTGTGCTTTATTTGATGTGGAACATATGCAGTGTGATCCAGTTTTTCCATCATTTGGTTGCGTGACCTAGGAATGTTGGTCATACCAGACATTAAGTTAAAAAAAAGACAAAAAAAAAAAAAGACAAAAAAAAAAGACCACTGTTTGGTTTAAAATTTTTAATGTTTTTAGGAGTATGTGCTGTGAGGTGATCTGGAATTTGTCATTTTTTTTGTCAAACTGTACTGCTCCTATTTATTGTAATGTAATAAAAAATAGTTATTGTGAGTTTCTGTCCCAGTTTGCTTTTTTCCTCCAGTAATTTCAGTGCCTCGTCCCTGTGACGGCGCGTCCCACGAACTGCATGTGTTTGGCAGCTGTTCTCGGTTTATTTCTCGTACTTCTCACTGCCTGTCACAAAGCTGTTGTCTTTGCCCACTGGTGATCCCTTCCTCTGAGAGGAGGGAACCTCTCCACCACGCTGTGACAAAACGCTTCATCGTCCCTACCCATCTCCTCTGGTCCGTTCTCTTTGGCATTCTGTGCCATTCCGGGCTCATTCCAGGGGAGGCTGCGCTTCCCGCTCGCTGGTGCACGCCGCTTGCCCTGTGCCATCTCCAGGGGACCTCGCTTTCAGCAGTCTTAACAGCAAGACTTGATGTCCATCAGTCCACAAGTTCAAAGCACTGTGAGCAGCCACTCTGTGTTCGTTCCCAGGTGCACCATTTGACCTCTTCCATCAAATGCCTGCCATAAACTTTCCTGTTTTCTGTAGGACGTTCTTTAGTGCTCATCGTGTCCTATGCAGAAAAAAGTGTCAAACTGCTGCTGTTCTATAAACTTACACTTCGGCCCTTTGTTACCGTGTCTGGATAATCTTTTGTCAGTTACTGAGAAGGGTGGGTTAAATTTTGTATGCAGAGGTGTTCATTCAGAACAGGTTTCACTGCCACATGGAGTTATGTTGATGTGGAAGGACCGTTTTTCACATCAATGTGGGGCTAGAAACTGAAGCACATACTCCTTTTGCAAAGTAGTGTACTGTCTAATTTGCCATAATTTTTTGATTCTATTCTGCAATTTATGCATGGAAAGACTCACTATTGCTAACAGTTCTACTGCAGTGATTACTCACCTATATTTCAAAGATTATTTATGTTCTATCTCCAGTGTCATTTAGTTTTTTGAAACAAACAAAAAAAAACCAACAACGAATCAACCGTAGTATGTGAGTATTGTTTCTGGCACGGGTTTGTGCTAGTCAAACCAAGGTCTACAAAGTCAGCCCTGGAACAAACATCTATGGTCAAACTTCTCTTCCAGGGAAAAAGGATCAAGTTCTCTATTCCTGCTATAGTAGTTAAACAACATCAGAAATCCATAGTAGCAGGAATTGCCTTCACTATTGTTCAAATTCAGTCCCTTCCTGACCCCACCGTCTTCTTACTGTGCTAGAAAGACAGTGCCTCTGCCAGCCTGCCCACGTGACTCTTGCAAGTTAACCAGATGTAGTTAAAATCTTAAAGAATTGACTTTAGTTTTGAGAAGGTGCTTGTTTATGGTGTAAATGACTCATTAAACATGGAAGACTTTCAAAACCAGATTAATGTAAGTACGAAGAGAAGTGCAGCACCTTGAACTAGCGGTCAAACCCACAGCTATCAGGTAAACACAAGAGCCGCTACCTGCCCAACGTGTATCCAAGTGAAACAGAACAGAGAGACACCGTGACTTCTTTCAAAATTGTTTACATACACGAAGTGTTAGTTCAAGGAGGTCAAAAGCAGCTGAGAAAAACCTACCCATGTAATACAAATCCCACATCCTTCAAGTGAGCACTTCAGGGGAAGGAAAGTCCTAATTTGTACTTTAGATGGGTTGGAAGGATTTACGTATCATTTCTTCTGAGGTTACAGCTCTTTTATTGTTTATTTTTATGGATTTGTATCGTTACATGCCAGGTCATTAATACCAGTTATTGATTGTCATCACTGTAGTAGCGCTGTTTCAGAGCTCTGTATTTTCTGAGAAAGTACAAAGCCTCCAACTCTTTTATAACGAATTCTCCTCGTGCAATTAGTTGCTTAATTTTTTCAGGATCTTTCACATCTTTATTTTTTAGAAAAGCTGCTTTCAAACGGCTTCTAAAGTAGTCTGCTCCTTTGGGATACTCCCTTCCAAGGTACAGAAGCTTGAAGAAAGAGAAAAAAGATTTTTTTTTAATAGATTGAGCATGCAGTAAAAGCATTTTCTCTAGTTAAGGAAAGTGCTTGTGGCATTTAAGAAGACACTTACATTTTTGTACAGTTTCAACACTTCACCTCTCAAAGAATTGGCCATTCTCACATTTCAGTGAACTCTTTATTCTTGTCTGATTTGTTTTTTTTTTTTTACCTGAAGAATAACCAGTTTGACATTAGCCTTCCATGGGAGTCAGTAAATCCCTGCTTCATCCTCCACAGGAACTGCGCAGTTTCTCACCAGACTCACTCC